AACTATGAACTGCTTCACTGCAAGGAATTTACAAAATGAACCAGAGAAAGGATATCTGCATTTCTGAAGTAGGCTCAGATTTCTTCAGATTTCATTTGCAAAACAACTGACAAAATTGGAAGCCAAGATTACTTGAGATCCCAAGGTGTCAATCAAGCTTGGGAAAATACAAGTCTTTTGGATCTCATGGGCCAGTTCCAGTTTTCCTTAACAGCTTCAGTGGGCTGGCACTCCATGCCTTGCTGTGTTCACCTTAGCGGAGAGGTTCTGGACAGATTCTGGCTCTCCCCCACTGCAGACCAACATGGGTTATGGACATGAGGCATGGACAGAGCATGTCCTGTTTGGTATCCAACCTGCCATCCTTTTTGATTTGGAAGGAGAAAATTATGAATCATGTGTGTCAGGTGTCATATAGTCAATCAGGTTGTACTGGGTTTGCGTGGCAAGGTTTTGGTAGTGGGAGGGCTACTGGGGTGGCTTTTGTGAGAAGTTGCTAGAAGCTTCCCCCATGTTCAATGGAGCCAGTGCCAGCTAGCTCCAAGATGGACCCGCTGCTGGTCAAGGCTAAGCCCATCAGCAACGGTGGTAGCACCTCCGGCATAACATATTTAAGAAGGTGAAAATGTTGCTGCACAACGACAATCGCAGCCGAACAGAAGGAGAACACATGAGAGAAACAACTCTGCAGACACCCAGCTCAGTGAAGAAGGAGAGGGAGGAGATGCTCCAGGCACTGGAGCAGCGATCCCCCTGCAGCCCGTGGTAAAGACCATGGTGAGGAAGGCTGTCCCCCTGCAGGCCATGGAGGTTAATGGTGGAGCAGATATCCCCCTGCAGCCTAGGGAGGGCTCCAGACCAGAGCAGGCGGGTGCCCAAAGGGGGCTGTGACCCCATGGGAAGCCTGCACCAGTGCAGGCATCTGCCAGGACCTGTGGCCCTGTGGAGACTGAGGAGCCCAGGCTGGAGCAGGTTTGCTGGCAGGGCTTGTGACCCTGCAGGGGACCCACGCCGGAGCAGTCTGTTCCTGAAGGACTGCACCTCGTGGAAGGGACCTGTGCTGGAGCAGTTCGTGAAGAACTGCAGCCCGTGGGAAGGACTCGTGTTGGAGAAGTTCGTGGAGGACTGTCTGCTGTGGGAGGGACCGCG